ACTAGCTATATATATATATATATATATATATATATATATGTATATATATTTTGAGAATGTTGACTATATATGTGTGTGTATGTGTGTTATCCGGATCATTGATCTGCCCTATCTAGACCTCCAATCCGGAGAATCCGGATCTGGATTGGTGGTGGACCATCCATCTCCACCGATCCATTTCTTTAAACACTGGTAAATAATGCTGGTGCTTCCGAAACACGGAATCTCAAAATAGTGTCTGGACAAAGCCATTTATTCTGAGGGATTGGCTTGCCTCTTGTCTGGTATTTAAATTAGTATATGAGGAGCTGTGTTAGTAAATTTTTCACTGGATCTGTCTAAAGTACCTTTTGGAAAACATATTGCTCATTCAAGGTACTGTTTTGAAATTCTAAGTTTCTGTCATACACGGCTTCTACTTGTACAGGTTTTAGTCCTTTGGATGTACGACTTTTGTCCTTTTCTTTTTGCTTGCTTTTCTAGTACTTCCTGTGTCTTAATTTTATAATTATTTTTGCTTTGAAGTGGGCCATGATTGCGAGCCGGATTAGGAGCATACTTGGGCTGGCTCTCGATTTCCACTCCATACAGCACACTTTGTGCAGCGGTGGGGCTGCTCCTGCTATAAAGGCCAGGTGCGAGTTGGAGGTTGATCGAGTCGAGAGACAATTTGATGAATGCATTGCATTTCTTCTCCGGGTAATTTCTCTCCCTCTTACCTAAAGTCATTTGATGAATGCATTGCATTTCGTCTCCGGGTAATTTCTCTCCCTCTTACCTAAAGTCATGGGATGCCCCCCTAAATGAGATTTAAATTTAATCCAACTCTCTATCTGAAAACGTATATATCTCTCACACTTTCTAAGAGAGAGAATGCACATTTTTGGTGGGGAGATTTTTTGAGTTTTGTAGTTTTCTCTGCCATCAGGTATTGTCCTTCAAGCTCAATGTGGGGCACTTCCCTCATTTGGTGGACTTGGTAACCAGAATCAATTACAATTACTTCTATATGTCTGATACCGGCAACTTGCTCACGATGCCTACTTCTGATGTTTCTACATCCAAACCTGGTCAACCGAACCGGAAGAATCCTCCCTCCCATAATTGAAAGAAAGATCTCATAATGAATTATTTGTGTTGTATTCGCTATTAAGTTATTATAAAAAAGCCCCTTATTGTATAGCTTGTGCCTAGCTTAGCAAATTATTTTTAATCATTAGATGTCAAATTGGATGGTTTGGGATGTCTTTTTTTTTTGACCCGAGTCTAGTTAATTATACTCCACAACTATCTGATTTGAAATTTGACGGACAAAAATGACTATGACAAAAATGACTATGACGTTGAATTAAAAGTAAATGGTCTCTTTGTATTATGTTGTAATTAGATATTAGCAACTATTTCATTATCTTGATGGTTCTTTAATTATATATCTAGAAATAAATCAATGGTGTTATTGTACATCTTTTTAGATTTCGTACTCCCTTCCTAAAGTTTTGGAGAATACCTCTCTCCAGCTAAGGTTCACGTGCCTCTCATCGTCCCAATTACTTAACATATTACACCCACGTACCTCTCTCTTCCTAAAGATGTAGAGAGATTGTGAAGATATCCCTTAGGGCATGTTTGTTTTTATAAAAGTATTTTTTTAGATTTTAAAAAAATTGTGTTTATTTCACACTTTTCATGAAAAGTTCATAAACGAATCCTTCGTTAAAAATTGAAAGATTAAGTTCTTAAAGGTGGGGTCGAAATTTAATCTTTCATAACTTTTTTGTTGATTACTATTTATTATGCATAATATAAATACATGATATTAATATTATTAATATAATATAATATAATATTGTATATTTATATTTATTTTATTAATTATATTGATTATATATTATATGTAATATATAATATTACTATAGATTTATATTATATTATATATAATATATGTATTATATTGTATATAA